TGAAACAGGCATATAGGTAACCATTTGTCCAATCGAAGCAAGGGAAATCGAAGCAAACTTGTTGTTCCTTAAAAAAAATCATTTTTATCTGTTTTTCAATTTTTTACAGTTTTCTCTTTAACTTGATGCTGGAAAATCCAATTGTACTTGTGCAAGCTTGAATTTTTGAAAATTCTTGTGAGAAATTCCTTGAGAAAAGAGAGGGAAAATTATGAGATACAATATATATTATCATCACCCACCTCCTGTCTTGTAACCCTAGTTTCATCTCCTTGAGATTACTTCTGTTTTGTATTGCATTCTCTTTCAAAATGACTAAATTTTTGAAAATTGAAGTAAAATTCCTTTCTAATGTCAAATTTTCCTTTTTCGTCTCGAAAGTTGCCTTGACCATCATTTTTGCTGCAGCTCCTCTCACCCTTTTGACAAGTCGAACTCTTCGAATTTTGAGACTCTTTTCCACCAATTATTTTGAAAATTCTCTTTATTCTTCATGGGCCATTTTTCCTTTTGACTTCTTATTCTTCTCATTGAACTCGTGCTTGCAAAGTGATCTTCGTCTTTGCCTTGTTGTTATTTCTCTCCTCCATCCTTTGCTCATGAGCATCAAGAGAGTTTTGAAGCTTATCTTTGCTCACATCACAAGATCCCTCGACTCTCCAATCACCACTACAATGTTATCAAATATTGCTGTCAAAGAAAACAAGATCTTAGACACAACATTCTGCTCTGAAATAGTTTCTCCACAAGACTTGCTTTAGTTCACCAATCGTGTAATTCGTGTCACGTAATCATTGATTGTCTCATTTTCCTCCATTTGAATCAATTTAACTTGACGATTATAACTTTGTAACTTCACCACCTTTGCCTTATCAGCCCTGCATATGTGTTTTCCAAGATTTTTCATGCTTTCTTTACCGATTCGCAATCGTCAACTTCCTCAAAATTGTCATCATCCACACATTGATGGATCAAGAACAACACTTTGTAATATTTCTTCTTTTCTTTACTGTGCCTTGTTAGTTGTGCATTTGTTGCACCTTTGACAAGGGGATTCACTCTATTCTTGATCACTTCAAGAACATCTCGGTAGCCATATAAGATCTTCATTTGCTTTCACCATTTGTCATAATTCTTCGCATTAAGGGTTGAGGTTTGTAGGAACTATATCATTGAAGACATATTTTTCATTGTTGCACACTGTTTATTTGTGGATCAGAATCAGACTCTTGATCCCAAATGTTGGAACATATAATCACACAATTGATAAACTAGGAGTATTTGGAGAGAGAGAGAGAGAGAGAGAGAGAGAGAGAGAGAGAGAGAGAGAGAGAGAGAGAGAGAGAGAGAGAGAGAGAGAGAGAGAGAGAGGAGAGAGAGAGGAGAGAGAGAGGAGAGAGAGGAGAGAGAGAGAGAGAGAGAGAGAGAGAGAGAGAGAGAGAGAGAGAGAGAGAGAGAGAGAGAGAGAGAGAGAGAGAGAGAGAGAGAGAGAGAATTAAGGGTGGGGAGATGATGATGCCTCCAAGACATTTATATAAGTGTTACAAAATGATTGAAACCTAAAACACATCATCCAAATACAAGAAAAAGCCAAAATTCATGGTTGTAATCGATTAACACAAACCATTTAACCGGTTACAACTGACATGAACTCAAAATATAACAATCAAGTATAACTGGTTAACATGTAAATCAAGTATAACTGGTTAACATGTATGTGTAACCTGTTAACGCGTATGCATAACCGGTTAACGCCAACTTAAAATTGCCTTTTATCTTCTAGTGCTTTTCTTCAAACTATAATCGATTACACCCGTGTGCTAACCTGTTACAATACTTAGATTACCATGTTTTTACTTGATATTTCTTGGACTTATTATCTTTATCTAACAGTTTGAGGAACATTTTCTAATGCTGGAATAGTGGCCAAACATTTCGTTATGGACCTCAAATCAACAACGTTAATGGAATTGAATGTCATTACTGGAAAAGAGATTTTGTGACGTGTTCGTCTGAAAAGAATTTAGAATATATATAACAGTGTTCTTGGAGGTTTAGATAATTTGGAGGTATAACAAGAGCAATAATTTCTCTTGAGCCAAATCAAATATAGTTGAAGGGAAATGACCCTGAGATAAGTTATATTTCTCACTAATCTAATGGAGCAAACATGTACAATTTGTCAGCACAACTTGAACACATAAAGGGGTCATCAGCGATCGTTTGCGAGTTCATGTGTTGCAGGTAGTGATCATATATTGTTATTGATGAAACAAGATGGATGAAGATGCAGCAAGATGGTCATGTGTTGTTGTTGATCATGTGTTGTTTTAAGCAAAAGTTGCAAGTGGTGATCATGTGTTGTTGTTGATGAAACAAGATGAAAGATAGAAGATGCACTCAATTAAGCCCCACATCATTTTTTCTACAAAATTGTTTAGTCATTGTATATGTTTAAAAAACATGACATGTTGAGTACTTGTGGGTTGGAGAGAGATGTTATGATTAAAGTGATTGTGTTGTAACTATTAGGCTTTTGTTCCAGAAATTTCTTTCAATAATTTTCATATTTAAATTACTCTAATATTATATTAAATAGAATATAATTAAAAATTAGTAATAATTTATAGAATAGAAACAATTATTTTTAATTAAAAATAATATTAAATCTAACGTGGTATTATTGTCGACACGTTTGCAAAACTGGAGATGGAAATTTCAACAAAAGTAAAGTTCAAGGACTAAATGCTAATTTTTAAAATAGGAAGATTAAAAATTAAAAAAATATTACACTAAAAAGACTAAAAATAGATTTAAGTCAAAAATATTAGAACAATACTCTAAATTACAACACTAACATATCTAGTTGTTTGTTCATTTTGAAATGGAAGTAAAAGTTGAATAAACTTAATTAAGGATTTAATGGGGTGGGTGGGGATGAGAATGCATCTACTCCCCCACTCCCACTTCTCAAATCTATTCTCTATTTCTATCTTTGATCTTCATCACAAAAAAAATTTATCTCTTATTCTCATTTCATAGGTCTCCACATAGATCCATAAATATAATAAAAATTTATAATAAATCTTTTAGTTTTACTTAAAATAATAATAATAAATCATTCAAAAACTAACAAAAGAATATTGATATTGATTCTCTATGAAAAATCTATTTTTTCTTAATACTAATCTATATTCACTATGGTCTTGGCCACCAAAATTAGCAACATTTTTTTAAAAAATTTAAAAATAATCATTTTGATCTCTATTTTGATAATATTACATATATATTATATTATATTTTTATAAAAAATTATATGATAGGACAAATGAAAAAACAAATAAATTTAAAAAATATTATAATAATTTAGATAGGGTGAGATATGTTATTTGTCTCTAAAGTATTTTCTAGTAAATTTTGTTTTCTATTTGCGTCTCCGTAAGAGAAAGTTTCTCATCTCTAAAGCTCCGAACAAGAGAATCTCAGTTGGAATCCCTACTAACGGGAGTAATTGACATCTCTAAATCGACATTGCAACAATCATATCTATATATATCTCGTCTGAGTCACTCTGAGTTTGACTGAGAAAACTCGTTTTGACTGGATTCGAGTTTGAGTTAGATTTTCTTTGATTTTAAAATATAAATATAAAAAATGAATAATAAAAATACTAGTATCCAATCCGAACAAGTTCCGTTGATAATTTAAAATATTTAAGTTTGATAAAATTAAAAATAATAGTTGTTTGGTTATTACATTTATATTTGGTTTGTTTTTTATTAATTAATATATTTGAAATTTATATTTTAAATTTTTAAATTGTTTTAATTCATTATTTTGAATACTTATTAGAGTTCGAAATATATTATTAGTTTACGATTTCTTTCAGTTTAATCAGAGGTTTCTAATTTCAGAGATTAGTCTCTACAGTTGTGCATAGAAGATATCTAATTTTAAAAAAATATATATTATAAGCAAAAATGAATTATTTAAATTTTCAGAAATTGATTCAAATGTGAAAATAAGTCAAAACAGAATGTTATTTATTATCGTTTAGGTTTGAAACGATAACAAGTATGTGACCCCTTTCTCTAAATTTATTTAGTGTGGTGCTGTTTCCGTTTTTTTCCACCGCCACCCGTTTAGATGTCTTTTTGTCACGAGTTAGAGAAGCTTTATGTCTGTTTCCGTTTTTTCCACCGCCACCGTGCGTTTAGATGCCTTTTTATCGTGAATTAGAGAAGTTGGAAATTGTAGTTTCATTATAGACGTGATTCTGACAAAACGTGGAAACTCTAACGTTAACCAAACAGATGCTTAAACTATTCGTGAATCAGTCCATTATTCATGAGCTATTCTAGAAAATTCAATGTAGCAAAAAATGATGAGTATATTATGTTATTTTTCCAAAATGGATCCAAACATTAATAAGTGTTGCTGATAAGATAAAGCCAAAAAAACTTTTTAAAGGCTTCCAATACGCCTCATGAGACATACTAAGTTGCTAACTATTCATAAAGTTCAAGGCTCCATAGTTTAATATAACAGGTATCCAAATAATTGGATTGTGCAACAACTAAGAATAAATCTAAAACCTTGGTACTTATACATTATAGAAGAAACCGAGTCTATCAATTGGAGTGTCGATGAGAAGAAATAAATAATAAATCACAGTTTACATTGCTACACGTAAATGATGATACAAATGAACAGAGGGGAATCCATACACCCCAAAATACAATGATACAGTGAGAATGGCCTTTCCATTCCCAATATTCTAGCACCCAGAGAAACACATGCTAAAACATGATTATGTGATCTTCTCAGTAAAACCCTAAGGGTGCTTCCCCTTTTTGGTGAGCACCCAAAGAACAAATAATTAATTTAATCCTCAACTGAATGGAATAATACTTCATGAAGTACATAAGTTGACTGGAGGTCAACGCAACGAACAATGAATGCCAAGGATAAGTTAGCAGGTCAAGCGAATAATATTGAATTCAAAATGTAGTGCTACTCTCACTTGCAGAAAGAGAGGGGTCTTCAGACTTAACAACGGTTGTTCCTTTGCTGCTAATATCAAGTCCTTGAAAAACGACCAATCTGATCACTTTGCAATAATTCTGAAAAAGAATGAGAATTTGCTTGTTGCAGTTGATGACTTGCCATGCTAGATGGGGAGTGACCGAATAGTGGCAACTGAATGTTACGGTGACCAGAATGACCTGATTGTGGTGAAATGGGAAGGAAATTCGATTCCGTAAATGGCATCTGGCGCATACCAAGATTGAAAGATTCAGTGTGGCTCATTATATCTCCAGTAGCAACCTTCAGTCTCTCAACTTCTTTCTTCAACGCATCATTAAGAGCTACAGAGAAACACAAACAAATTCCAGTTTAATTAATTGGCTTTAGTAACACACTTCAAAAGCTTTTGAGGCAGAAAAACATGCAAAGCAGTGAACATTATTAACACATTGTAAGAAGGTGATAATTGTTACCATCACGGAGATGTGCTTGTTGCTCCATGGCTTGCAGACGAAGTTTAAGCTCTGTATTTTCATTACTCAGACCTGTTGTATCTCTCTGAAAAGAATAAAAAATCAAGAAGTCATTGAGTTAATTTAGCAACAAATTAAGTATGAGTAAAAACTGGAAACAACCATAGTAAAGTATTCACAAACAATGCAACATTATGTTATAACACTGAAATCCAAAGCACCAGAGTGATTATATAAATATCTAGAATATTTTATATATGAGGAATTTCTCAGAGAAATACAAAGAGAGTGCATACAAAATTAATATTTTGTATTTAGCTATAATTGCAACAAGGACATATCTATGGTTAAGGAAAGTAATGAACAATGCAGTTGATTTTATTGCACTAAGCTACACTGAGAAAATCCAACAAGCAAACAGAGTAACTATGCAAAGTGAAACTTCTAAAAGTGTTGTGGTTTTAGATAAATCATAAATGTCAACACAAACCTGGTATAATGTGAGTTGGGCAGAAAGAGTTGTAGCTTCAGTCTGTAGGGTCTGAACTTTGCGCTCTAGTTCATGTATATAGCGGGCCTTTCTCTCCTTTGAACGAGCAGCAGATTGTCGATTCGCAAGTATTCTATTCATAATAACAGCAAAGTGAGAATAATGAATAGACAAAAATCCACAACGATTAGTAAAATTGAAAATTAGATGAAATTAGAGAGCAGTATATCTTGCATAAACCCCTCTCACATTCTCACACCCCCTAAAATTTTAAATCTAAGCTCAGACATACAATACATATGATATGACACAGCTACTAGAAATTTACAACAACAACCAAGCATTATCTCACTAAGTGGGGTCGACTACATAGATCAACTTCCGCCATAATGTTCTATCTAGGACGAGTTTCTATTCAAATCATTAATCTCGAAATCTTTCTTAATAACTTCACTTATAGTTTATCTATGACATGGATCAGCTACTAGAAATTTTTAAGAAAAAACACATCCAATATACGTTAACAAATATGTGTTTGTATGGTAAGTATCAAACTCATATCATTATCGTATATGTGTCGGACACAACTAGTTTTCCATTTTTGAAGTATTTGGGCTTCAATATATGTTCATAGCTCAAAATTCAAAAGATCTGCACTAACAAAAATATCCGGAATGGTCTCTAACTCTAATCATAAACTACAAGCCATCGACACATCACATCACATCACCTCACCACTCGCACCACAGGTATACAGTTCCAACAATGCTTTAATTACAGCTAGAACTTACAAAGTTGCTTGTGCTGCAATCTAGAATCACAAAAAAGGGGCAACTTTCACACTATCACCAACTCATACCAGTTAAACAATCGCGATGAATATGAAAGCAAACTGAATCTAAGCAAAAATCATCAAAACAACACAACTGAAATTCAAATCAACTAATCAAAACTCAAAAGAGAGAAAAACACTCATAGTTGAAGAATTCAATAGTTTACACAATTGAAGCAAACACAATTATGCATTTGGCGATCAAAATTTCGAATATCAAACCTTTTTGCACGCTTGGGATCAATAGACCAAAGCTCAGCTAACTTATCCGGAGGCATAGCTTTCTTCCCATCCATAATCTCCCCAAACGACGAAGAACCATCCACCGAGCTACTATGCCTATGCCTCGCCCTCCCTTGGTTCTTCTCCGTCTCATCATTTCTCACCGGATCTACTCCACCGTCTCCCAAATCATTCGAACCTCCAAGCTTATCCATGTCAATGTACGTCGAGAACAGGTCGTCTTCGGATCCGATCTCATCTAGGCTCGCCGTCGAAGATCCGCCGGTGAACGGATCGGACGGAGACAAGTCCATCATGTCGTCGGGTAACCGGAAACTGACCTCTGAGTGAGCTCTCCGGTGATGGGACCCATTATTTCCGCCGGAGCGGGGGAACATGGAGGACTTGCAGGCGGCGGTTGTCGCCGCCGTGGATGGAAGTGGCGGTGGGGGGAATTTGGATGCGGTGGTTGCATTGTGGGGATTGGGAATGGAACTGGGATTAGGGTTTGAAGATGGGTGTTGCATTTGTTCTCAATTTGTGTTGTTTTTGTCACATAAGACCAATGCAATTCTATTTTCTTGGTTTCTTTTCTCTGTGGTTCTAAGTTCTAAGAACTCTGAAGATTTTTGGACAAAAATACAGTTTTGGATATTTAATAAAAAATCAATAATTTTGTCACAAAAATAAATTATACTAATAAGAAAATAAGAAATTATATTGAATTGAGTCGAGAAGTTGTATTGAATTCTTTAAAAAAATGTGTGACTTATTATGACTTTAATTTGGATGTATCGACAAAAAGAAAAATTAAGAGAAAAAAAATTTTGTATCTGTCAATCAATCATTATTATGTATTGTGTCAAATCACTCAAATTTTTTTAAATTTTTTTTTTGACAAATAGAAACTTAACTTATATCATTAATCATAAATTATTTGATATAAGGAGGAGTCAAATCAAAGAAACTATGCAAATACCAGAAATCGATTGCCTTAGCTAAAGCGTGAGCAACCGTATTTGATTGGTGCTTACAAAATTGACCTCTAAGTTAGGAAAGGACTATAACAGACTTTGAATAGAAAAAATAATAAAATTTGAACTCAGAAATAACATTATGACTGGATCTAATGACCATAATCACTCGTTGAGAGTCACTATCAAAGACAATATTATCTAGCTGTATAACTATAGGAAAATGAATAGCCTCTTTGAGAGCCAAAGCTTCCGCTTCTAGAATTGAATGGGTACTGAAATCCTAGGTTGCACACGCACAAACAAAACTTCCAATATTATTTCTCACACACCAACCCCGATTGGTAGTCCTCCGAGTAGTATTAAAACTCGCATCAACATTACATTTCAATCTCCCTTCGTTTGGCATACTCCAAACCATAAGCTGGTGGTGATTGTTCTCTCTGACATTGTTATCTTTAGTTGTATACCACTTCTGCCACATAATGTAAGCTTGAAGTCCAAGTTTATAAGGTACCTCTCTCTCGTTATTCCAAATCCAATTATTTATATTCCTCCATATCACCTCCAACATAACAACGACTATGCCTATTATCCTTTTATCCTCCTGATTATAAATATCAAATATCAAGGACCTAACATTGTCAAAGGAATGTAAACGAGACTGAATGATATGTATCTTACTTGTTGATCAGAATTTGAAAGTGCCGAATTTATGACGTCTGTTAGGCTGGAAATTTACAGAGAGGAAGGGGTGTACCTGCAAGGCACTCCGATAATCTAGTGAGAAAGAGTGCAAAGAGATACAAGAAAGATATTAGGGTTTTATGAGTGAATGTTGGATACCTGGTCCTCACATGTGTGAGGGTTTTTATAAATTCCCCCGACGCTTGGCCATTGGTCCCTATTTTTGGGCCTAGATATGTGGGTTCACAAAAATAGATAACTTTCAAGACTTGGTCAAAACGGGCAGACGTGCTCGTAACTAGCTGTTTGTTTCAAGGAGGGGGAAAATTATGGGCAGAGAGGCATTCTAGACGATTCCTGGTTGTCTGCTCGACTCAGGTCGGGCGAAGGAGGAAAGATAGTCACTAATTTGGGTAGGTTTATGGCCTGGGGACATTGCTGGTCTTGCTGACTCTAAGGACCAATCGACTAGAGGTTCCCAACAGAGGGCCAAGGCTAATGGGCCATGGTCATATGAGCCACACTAGAGGTAAAAGTATACTGGGCCCACTCTGGCTATTGGGTCAGTCCATAATAGTAGTCCCCTAAGTCGTTGCCTTTGGGCAGAGGGGCGATGACTTATACTCGTGACATTACCAGGGAACTTTCTCTTTCGAGGGGTTTGAGTGTTATTTTCTGTGTTCGACTCGCGGGGAGATGAACAGTTGATTTGAAATCTGAAGAGTTAGCGTGTCACGTGTGCCTCGAGCTGTGTGTTGTCACAACAGCGTAATGATTGTTATCCTAGGGACTAGGGTGTAATAATGATGACCCTTAGGTCTTCTAGGTGCGTGCTTGCCCACGTGCTAGCAGGCAGTCTATAAAAGGGAGAGAGGCAGCTTCATTCACATTTTTCGCTTGCTCTTGCTTTGCTTGATTGACTTATTTCTGCTTGATGTTGCTTCCTAGCGAAGCTTTTGTTTACTTCTCTGCTTGATGTCGTAGATTTCCGTTTGTCACCACCGTCACTCCTTTTAATCCAATAAGGTTTTTGATTTCCTCCACCTTTTATGAGGTTTGCACTTGCTCTAAGTTAGATATTCTGTTTACCCTAGAAATGCATGTGGTTAGGGCTAGAGTGGTGAAAAATCTTCGACAGAGTTTCGGTGTTAGACAGTAGTTCTGCCATGTGAGGGCATTGATGTTACCACGGACCCTTCCAGCAGGTCTTGAGCCACAATGAGTGTTGATGATTTCTCCGGTGAAGTTAGGTCGTTTCTGTTGTGATCTTCGTGTATTACTGATGAACCTCCTGGGTGATTTGAACTTAGTTGTCTGGGGGATGTTGCTTGTGAGATTTTAGGTTTTAACTCATTTTTAGGCGCCCATCGCGTTTGAGGGAGATCTTCGCCGTGCCTGTTCTTTGTTGTAGAGTGGACTCTGGTCGGGGATAGGGTCCTCGTTCCTTTTCGCCTTTTCACTTGATTAGCGGTGGAAAGGGTAGATTTAACTCTAATATCGAACTCACTTTTGTCCTCTGCTTTTCAGGTACAATGGCTAACAGTTTTGATAACGAGTTCTTGAACGAGCCCAATGGTTCTGCTCAGAGTTCCACCGAATATACATTTATCGAAGAGAGTACCTCGGGGGCGTTTGAGTCCGAACCGGGCGTGCAGGAACCAGGCTCACCTGAACAGCATACAGTTATAAAGGATGCGCCTGTGGCTCCTACTGGTGAAGCCGGGAAGAATGCGCCTGCGGTCGCTGAAGACCATGTGGCTTTGGGTCACGCCAGGCCCTTGGGAGCCTACTTCCTTCTTTATCGAGCATCTGAATGAGGTGTTCACGATGGTGGCTCTAGGGATGGAGCTCAAGGGTGCATAGGAGGAGTGGTCGATATACACTCTCAAGAAGAGTCATCGTATATGCTCGAAGTTCGATGCCCAACAACTTCCCATGTATGATATCCCATTTCGAGAGATGGCCTTTCGGCTTCCCTTTACTGATCTCTAGGTGGCTATTTTCGGACATCTCCGCCTGGATCCGTCATAGTTGTACCCCAAATCGATTTTCTTTATATGTGCTTTCAAGATCGTGTGTGATCATTTGAAGATAGTGGCGACAGTTTCCCTAATCTTCTACTGCTTTCATCTTCAGAGGAGCACGTTTGGTGCTCAGTTCGGATGGGTTTCTTTAAAGCAAACGAGTGGGAAACTGTTTAAGGCCTACTTGGAATATGTACGATTTTTCAAAGATAAGTATATTTTGATCCAACCCGTGTCAGATACGGTATTGCTGAATGTTTTCAGGAGTGTCCAGTTGTTCGATGAGAACGGGGGTCCTGTTTTGAATGAAGACGGGGAGCAGATGATGAAGTTGGTGCCCAAGTTCCACTTTCACTGGACAAGGAGGCACTATGATAAGGGGACCGACCATTACGCCTGGAAAAAAGGTCAGCTTGATCCCGAGGATCAGGATAGTCATGGGAATCCCCTCAGTCCAGTGTGTGGGCGGAGGGGGAAAGTCAATTGTCAACGGGACGAGAAATTGGTCTATGAGTCTGGCTTGATAGGTGTTAAGGAGCTCGTCGAGAGTGAGGATCTCGTTGCGTACCTGGGTAGTTATCTTGTATTTCAATTAAATTTGTGTGCATGGCGTATTGTTCCTATTTGATGAACTCAATTTGTTGTTTCTTGCGGAAAAATGAATCCCGCTGCTGAGCGCATGGATAAAGAAGCTATCATGAAGGTGAAGAAGGTGCAAAATTCTGTCAGACCCTCGCCAGGTGATGCGGGGATGGCTCCACAGTCAGATTCGGGCACATAGTCGACTGGTTCAGCAGCCAAGGCTCTCTCTCCCCAGCGGGTGTCTTTGAGGTTCAAGAGGCAACGCCTCGAGGACACAGTTGATCTGACGATCGAAAAGGGAAAGGGGTGGTTAGATTTACCTTCTTGTTGGAATAACAAGACCTTCTTCGAGGGGGCCACCCTGCACCTTCCCTGAGCTGAGTCTCATTTGCTTAAGGAGCTAGATCATCCGAGCAAGAGGGTGATATTGGCTCGAGATGTTTGGTGCCATTATGAGGGTTCTTGAGATGGTTGTTGCGTATATCGACGGAGGTACTTCTCATGAGGCCGAGATGAGGAAATTACAGGCCAAGCTGGCAACTTCTGAGAAGGAGCACGCCAGCGGGGAGGCTGCCTGAAAGACAGCGGTTGACAGCTTGGTAAAGGTGACCGACGAGTGTGATACCCTTCTGCTCGAGAAGAAAGCTTCTGAGGAGCTGGTGGTGTCCCTGAGGACCGAATCGACTCCTGTAGAGGATGAGCCGGGAGAGGTCAGAGGTCTGAAAACCTGCGCCGACTTGGTTGTTCGTCTCTAACAAACTGTGGATGATGGTTTGGCCAATGCTGAGGGGCATTTTGATAATGCGGTGGCGTAGCTCCGGGTTCTGAATCCTGATGTCGAGTTCAACACGGTTGGAATGGGGCTCTATTACTATGTGTCAGACAGTAAGATAGTCATTCCTGAGTTCCTTCAGACCGATGAGGATGTTCTGGTCGGGGAATCTTCTCAAGTGGAGCCTGTTCTCGAGGTACCGCCCCAATGTTGCTGCTATAGAGTGGCAAGCAAAAAGTAAAGTATTATTTTTACTGGGTGATATAAGTTATATTGTATCGTATCCACAAAGATTGTTTATTAATTCGTCGTTCGACAAATCATTTGTTAATGAGTTTGGAGATAAATGGGTTGAAAGAAAATGTATTAACAGAAAATAAATGTATAAAAAGGAAAAAAGGAATAACTTATCAAGCATGCATATATACTACTTCTCACATAATTTAACCTATGGACCTGTTATACTTAACCTACAATATTCATCAATG